CATTAAAAAAGTCAGAAGTATCATAGGTAAAGTCCCAATCATAGATGTGCCTGATGCATTTCATCCAATCTAAACCAAACCACAAATCAACACTATAATTCTACTAATCAGAAGGAAGAGAACTAATGAAACAGAGCAATCTCACTTCGAAATTCACATTCACATTCACATTCCCATCCCCATCAGCCATACCCTTTCAGGAATCACTGCAATCACTACAATAAGCTACTAAAACGAATTCTGGATTACCAAAAAGTATGAAGACTAACCAAAAATATGAGAGGCATCGGTGGTGGAAGGCGGCGAGACTGAGAATCCGTCTTCTTCCGTGGTTCTGTGGCGAGGCAGAGCAAACAAATTCAAGTCGCGATGCTTGATTTGATGAATTATAAGATGCTGATGCTAGATTTGTCGGATTAAGATTGAAAGATCAGAGAACAGGAGATGGCAGATTGCATTTAGGGTAGAAAGTGCGAAATGGCTGTCTCCTTTTGGATTATAAGATGCGGTTGGTTCGGGTTGGCGGGTTTGGGTATTTTGTGGGTTAGATTTGAAATGGGCCAAAAAATTTAGGCCCTAAAAATTTTGGGCCTGACTGAAAAAAAATTATGGGCCAAAACGAATATATTATTGGGTTGAAATTGATGGACTGGGCCAGAATACCTTTCGCAACATTTACAAAACGTTGTGAAAGGTAATACCTTCTGCAACGTTTCGCAATGCTCAATAAACATTGCGAAAACTTGTCTACTGCAACATTTTTTTAAAAAACATTGTTAAAACTCATTTACTGCAACACTCAAAAAACGTTGCGAAAAGTGGTCTACTGCAACATTTTTTTTAAAAACGTTGTCAAAACTCATTTATATTAACCAATGGCAACATTCACTTACTAAAATGTTGTCAAAAGATCATTTTGACAACATTTATCAACAAATGTTGCCTTTAAAATGTTGCTAATGACTATTTTTGTTTTAGTGTTACCTCGATATTAAGCCTAAGTCAATAAGTGAATAGATTAATAGAATGACTTATATTAGGGTTTTTATTGTGACCCTATAATTGATTTTGTTAGGGCACAATATCACGAGCTTACTAATTCATTACTTAGGTTGCATGGGAAGATTGACAATGATTATGTACTTATGACGAGTTTATCAGACATATATGATGTGGAAAAATCAGACATTGGTTGTTGCACAATGAAGTTTGATAGTAGAGTCACTATATTATATTTTATAATCGATTAATAATACTTGTACTATTGAAAATTCCGAGGCATTATAGTAACTCCACGAAAAAAATATTGTAATGATCTGACCTCTATGCCCAAATCGTTATTTTATGTACTATTTGTTTTAAGAGAACCTTAACTCATCTTACTCGTAGATTTCTATCATCTCCAAAATTCAATTTAAATCATTCTTACTAATAGTTGTCCAATGGTACCAGGATTCAACTTAAATTTTCCATGAGGTGTAAGATGACAGATGTCCTCCAAACACGAATGCCCAAACCGTTAATTTACGTAGTATCCACCGTGAGAGAGCTTGTCTAATTGGTACCAGAATTTAATTTAAGTCATTTTTAAGGAAAAAGTCAAAAGTTCGAATTTTTGAGACTCGATAAAAATTCATGAAGAATAAAATAGGTATTGACTCTTCCGGAGCGGACGGTATGTAAGTTAACAACTTGAACATAGAGGCCGGATCGTTACATATATAAACCAATTAAATTCTTGAGTTTGATTTAATTATAACATCTCTGTAAGAAAATCTTTCTATCTATAGTTGAAAAGGGTCGATGAATACATAAATGGTGATGACGCTTTATAACTATTGTACGTTTGTAGGAAGAATTAAACCAATTCATTTTTTAGGTAAATTGCTTAAAGTAAAATTTAAAGCTATTAAAATTAAAACATATGGACCTTGTGAAATGCTTTGAATTAAATTATTCTCAACGAATTTAGAATAAAATCTAAATAATCCAATCAGGATCTATGTAACATCAAATATATCAAACTTGGAAATGGAAAAAAAAAAAACAAAATAAAATAAAATTGAGAGGAAATACCAAATTTATGTTGACTGAGCAGATGTTAAGTTAACCGAAGGATAAAGAAAAATGAAAAATTCCCAACGGTCGAGAAATAATTAATAATACCAAAATAATAAGACCATTTCCCCCTCCAACGGTACATTGTCACCCAAAGTAACGCTCTTCTTCACTCTTCACTCTTCACTCTTCACTCCCTCCTCTCTCTAAACACTGTTCTACATTCAGCTGTCATCCGCAATTCTGCAGATATCGATTTGTAAACAAAATTTTCCTCTTTAAATTGCATATATAGCACAATTCCAATTTTCAAGTTATACATATATAGTTGAGCTTTAATGGAGGTGGCAGCAATAGATTGGAAAAGCATTGATTCGAGATTTGTGAGAGATGAGGTTTATGAGCACATCCATGCCCCTCAATGGGTCGATTTCTCATCTCCCAACGATACCGTCGACGATGAAGCCTGGTTCTGCAGACCCAGTAAGTCAAAACACACACACAATCTTCTGTGTGTATAATGTATATATACATGGAGGGCAATGTGGGTTGTGATTTTCTTGTTGCTTGAGTGGATTATTTTGATGTTATTTTGTTTTGTTTGTTTATTGTTTATAGGCTGTAATCACCCCAAGACAGTTAAAGATTTCTTCAAAGAGAAAGAGAGGACACCTACTTCGAATTCTAGGGTTTGTATTGCTTCATCTTTTCTTGATTTGTGTAAAATTTAGTACTTGTTTTGTGAAGAAAATTTAGTGAAGTTGAGATCTTATTCTTGGAATTTTATGGTTAGATTGAGGCAAATTATGTATTTTGGTTAGTTCTTGATCCGATTAAATAATGAGAATGAAGTCCTATAAAGACCAAATTAAATTAATTAAAGCATGAATTTGTAGATTTGCAAGAATCCCTGTTTTTAATGCGTGTTTATTCATGGATTTGGTAAGGGAAAAAAGAAAAGGCTGTACTCAAAATTTTCAGTATATAATCTCATAGTAGGAAGATAAAAGAGAAATAGTTTGTCTATTTGGGTATTTTCTCAATTTCGTCTCGCTTCTATCATAGACTTTTTTTTAGTTCCAAATAGGAATTCAGATTATTTTGTGTGTCTGATTCTCATCAGTATATGGTCTTGTGCAGCTTCAGAGATCAGCTAGTGTATCTGAAATTCTTCCGATCGACGATAGAAACAGAAGGTACTGAGAAACTACCTGCTCTAAGTAGTGTAATTTAAACTGTCGTTCATGTGTAATTTAGAACGTGACTTCATTTACAATTTCAGAGATGCAACATTGAAGAAGAGAGGGATGAATCAACCTGTTATATCACCAAACATGAAATATAATAGGATTGTTGAAGATAGTGAAAATCAAAATCCCAGTGAAAATCAAAATCCCAATTTTTCGACCCCTCCAAATCGCAAAGGTTGTATGAGGAAAGAGGCAATCAAATCAAGCACTGAGAGGAAGAAAGAGACTGATGATATCATGACAATGAAAAATCAAGCACCGAGGCTGAAAAGTACTTTGTCAGCTCGGAATTTGTTTTCTGGTGGCGATCTACTGAACAAGGTTGCAGAGTTCTGCAATGAGTTGAAGAAATTGGCAACGAGGGGAAAGGATAGTCGACTTTTACACTTACCCCCTTTACTGGAGAAGCATTTGGTTGAACATTCACGAGATTTGGACGATAAAGAAAAGGAAAGGATGCCACTGCTTCAGTCAAGTCAAGTAAAAAGTGAAGCGACTGAGAAGAGCTACTCAAAGGAGAAGCAAACAAGGAAAAAGTAAACTTCTCCTCTTTCTTGGTTTTATATGTACCTGTATTTGTTCTGCATGCATATAAATACAGGAGGTTTTTTTTTTTTTGAGGAAATAAATACAGGAAGTTTAGTGATGCATAATTGGCATAAAAGTGACTCCACTAAATATACATTGTGTAAAATCCCAATAACCTTCGAGAGATAACTAACTATTTTGGTATGCTTGATGCAGGAGAAACGATGATGCAGAGAATACTCCCATCGATGTGGATGTGAATAACATTAAGTGCAAAGAGGAAGAAAGTTTGTTACAAATTCGGACTTCTCCTCCGACTCCACAATGTTTCTCGGCCAGTCATGGCCCTACCAAAGCCACGCCCAAGTCTTACAGGACGAAACCACAAGTATGTTCAGAGGTTTCATTAAAACTGTTCAAATCATCCAAATTAAGTTGTTTTATCATTGAATATGCAGAGAACTGAATTAGTTTTAATTCTTGACTTTTTTAGGGCAATCACTTTACATGATTTATACTGTTTGAATATCCACAGGTGAACAATTTAGGTGGGGGGAAGATTGGATAATAATAAAAAGTACTTAGCCCCTGTTCAATTCACATTATTTTTTTCATTCTCATTCTTCAACTCATTTTCAACCACATATTTTTCAATAAAATAATATTTTCCATCACATCAATAACCTTTCTTTCATTTTCAACCACATATTTCCCATCACATCACTTCAAAAAAATGCATTCTTTCATTTTAATGTGCACCAAACAGTAGGAAGAAAAAGAAACTAGAATCTCGTTATAGTGTGAAATACCGATTATAAAAAAGAACTCATAATCTTGCATACGAGAGTATTATCAATCACTGACTGAATTACACGAATTTTCAGGAGAGAGGAATTCTAAAGGAGCTCAAACCGATCAATAAGAAGGAGAAAAGTGATGAACTCAGGCACAAGAACAACCATGGAAGATATGTTGCTTCTGCTATAGCTGAAAAGGAAGCAAGAACTTTGGATGTCTTTTGGTTCTTAAAGCCTTGCACCAATTCAAGTTAGTCAAATAATTTTTTAACAGTATTCATAGAGAAATTTATTTACTCATTCTTTCATTTTTTTCATAAATCTTGGATTAACTTGTACAATTATCTTATTTCATCTTGATCATATCCCTGTTCCTGATTCATTCTATAGTTCGATGCATAATGCAATAAAATTTATTAGTTCTTGTACATGAAACTAATTTTAACTGAATAAAATCGAATTCTTTCATCTATGTTGGGAATACATTTTGCATTTTTGCATCGTATTGATGTGGCCGATCGTGCGTCTCTCAAACAAACCATATTAATTTGCTTAGTACGTAATAAAACTTGTTAATATGATCGAAGTATACAAAACTTACAGGGACAGTTCTTTATGAACGCACCTAAATTCCAAATACTTCGTGCTTGGCTTCACCAAATGCAGAGATTGGAAACTAGTGTACAAGAGCTGCTATGTGTACAGAAAAAGTGCTGCCAGAATTTCTACAAATATTGGATTCTATTGAGGAAAAAAAAAAGACCATGCCAACATCTGTAACAATTCTAGCAGCAATTCCCCTGTACGAGGGGAGAGTAATTACTGCTAACAAAGGGGGAAGAACGTTGTGAACAAAAACATATCAAAAACAAAAGAAAATCACTCTACTTAAAACAAAGATTTCTCTCTTATTGATTCTGAGTATACAGCAATTATCTCAATGAGAAAACCCTCAAGAACTAAAAGTCAATACCCAAACAGAAAAGAAACGCAGTAGAGATACAAAAAAGGAAGAAACTGGTGTGTGTTAAGCTAAGAAACCTCGATGGCTGCTAATATTGCTTGGACTCAGGAGCAAAAGGAGGAATCCGCACGAAGATGGCTTGATTATAAAATCTGCCTAGTATTATTACAAAGCATGCAATTGAAGATCCTAGTACAAGCATACCTCAAACGAGGATACATCCTGCCGGTATAAAAACTCGATTCCCTACACATAGTTTCCATGATTTCGACGAAAAGATTGAGGCTTCTGATTGGAGGAATATAAAGGGTCAAAGGACTTGCAGAAAATGCCACTGCAAAGAACAATTGCAACATCTCAGCTACACAGAGAACTTAAGATGATAAAAGAGATTATAAACTTCTTGGAATTTTCGTTGAATTTTGGATAAGTTTGAATGAATTAGAGTTATGGTTTTGGGTGGAACTCTCTTTGTTGGTATGTGTACGAGGATTTCAAGAATGATTTGCCTTTTTCTTGTCAACGGTGGTTGGGTTGTTTTAATTGGTAATTTTGGTAAAATATATAATGATGAATCTTTTAGAGAAAACTTGGATGAAAAGTTTGTTTCCCCTTTTAATTAGTTTTTCTCAAAAGGTTAGGTCAATTAGACCAACTCAATGTTTTTTAGGTCAAAACGACCTTAAACTCCATTGATCAAATTGATAAAAAAATTTATACACACATATTCTTTATTTTTTTTTCTTAAAATTGTTCTCGTCAGTTATCTTCAAAAAAAATTTGATATCTTTTTTCCGTCTCAAAAAATCTTTATATAGGTCACACTAATATTTAACTATATTAAGCAATGATCTCCACCTTATCTGAAACTGGAGCTCCTACAAAAGATGTAACAATCTCGTTTATGATCAAGACAATGCTTGTATGCTGAATTTTTTTTTGCTTTGTACATAATGTCAACTAAAGCACTTGATCGAGCACTTCTACCCTCGTACCTAGGTTAGATAGGGATCTTTTTTAATAGTCTAAAATCTTTTCACTTACTCTATTATATACATATATTTCGAGTATCTAAAAGCTAAAGGATAAAATGGAAAGGAATATTAAATTATGAGATATGAAGAAACAAATTTACTGTAAAAAGATTTAAAAGATCCTATTTTTTGCTTTCTACTATGTTAATCCTTCCTAGAAAATTTCATCAAAGGCCTAATATAAATAAATACAAAATAAAATTATGTCCAAGGATTAGGCTTGTGTCCAATAAACCTAACAAGTGGCATTTGTTTGGGGGTGGGTTGGTTTTCATTGACGTCTTTCAAGAATTTGTCAGCTTCTGGAACCTCCTATGAGGTTACTGAAATACTAGAAACAACCTTATCTAGGATATTCATGGGGGAGATAAGATTACCTTCCTTTTAACCTATAGAATAGTATATTCTTTACTTATTTTAAATTAATTTTTACTTTTTATTGAAATTAATTACTTATTTTCAATTTTGACCAACAAAAAAAAAATTACTTATGTAAACGATTTAAACGTAGCCAAAACGCTCTTATTGCGTTAACATAATATAACAACTTAATTAAGAAATTGTTTCTCGACGTTGAATATAAAAATTAATTTATGTATTTATTATCTTATATTGGAATAAATTGATAGGATTTTTTTTATCTCCCTATGTCTCCAAAACAAAATAATCTATGTACAAAATAATTTTTTTCTCATATTCAATAAATTGATGACTTGATCTCCTCATCTATCTTATCTTTGTTTGGAGGATGATATAAAATATCTCCTTGGTAGGAAACTTGTGTGCACCATCGTAGAGAAAAAAGTCTACATGTACATAATAATTGTGCATAACACTCACAAGGAGATGAGATCCACTGGTGAGGGAAAAAAAAACTTCAAAGGAGACTAATAAATTATAATATAATCCTTTATTTTAATTTTGATTCATCAATTCATGACCAATTCATAGGTTGAACATCAGTTCCTCTATATGGGATTCTTAGGACAAGCTAAATCAAGTTGTTATACACTAACTTGAAAGATTTAATACAATTAAATTGTTAGTTTTTTCTTTATTTTTCTCTTTTAAATAGCTCTACACGGATCGAATAATTCTTATGGACGAGATTCTTTTTATCTCTCATCTAAATTGTAATACTCTTAATTTACCCTTGATCACGAAATAAAAAGAAAAGTAAAGAGGTTTAAACATGGCCACGGTTCAACATAAAATGCTAGTGACTTCGATTGTGTCAAATGTAGTGGATTAGCGGACCTCTTTTTGAGAAAATGTACTCGACAATAGGCTCTCTTGCTTGATCCCAATGCCATGGGCGAAGGTGTGAGTGATAAACGGGACAATGCACAGATTCGATGGAATACAAGCAAGGCAGCATGCTGGCATTGTGATGCACGAGTGACGGAGGCATGTGATGCCTGATTTACTTGATGTCAGGGACGTTAAGGATTGGCTTGGTATGCCGGAGGACCCGATTGTATGAAGATGAGTCTGTTGGTAGGCCTAGAATTTCGACTTGGGAGAAAAAGCATAAATGAGCTGAATGACCAGTTTTTTTCCGTGCAATATTGCGTGGATTGCAAGGAAGGCGTTGAGAAATTTAAGGCAGACAGACACAGTCACGTTGCTAGCATATGTGAAGGCATTGATGTCTAAATTTATGACTAGATTGGGAGGGGACACAATCGGATTTGCGTCGACAAGATGTAGAGTGATGCATTGCGGCTTGCTGCTACGAAGATGAATTAGGTGGATCGGGCACTTGATTAAGGTAGTAAGTGTGATTGGTGAAGGGACGTGGAGTTTTCCTAAGTGCGTCGCAGGGTTGCTGCTTTGATGAATCAAGTGAAGGAGGCACTTGATTGCGGCAGTAAGTATGATTGGTGAAAGGACAGAGTATTCCTAAGTGCGTTTTGTAGGCTTACTATTGCTTCGTTGAATTAGGTGGATGAGGCACTTGATTGCGGCAATTAGTGTGGTTGGTGAAGGGAAGTGGAGTGGAGTGTTCCTAATGTGTGGAAAGGCAGGTTGGATTGATCACTCAACATTCGGGCATTAAGGAAAAGTGAATTAATGAGAAGTAGCGGGATTCTTTGACCAGTGTTGGGAAAAATGCAAAAGAAATGCTATTCATCCCCATTGGGGATGCATCCCAATCTATGTAACGTTAATGTGGCATTAAATGATAGGTGAAATTAAATAAGTCGTTTAATTTCACTTATCATTTACATCTACATAGATTGGGGATACATCCCCACTGGGGATGAATAGCATTTTTCAAATGCAAAGGTATTTTGCGTGAAGTTCACTGATGAGGACTTGATGGGAGAGGTATATTTGTGTAGTTTGTGCAATAAGCGACATAAGCTTTATAAAAGATCGAGAGATGATAATAACATATGTAATCTTGATTGAATTCCTACAATTGAATGCTTTTACATGTACATTGATTTACATAGAAGATACACTAAATTAGGAAATGTGAAAAGGTTTAGTTTTGTTCGAAAGAGATTACTAACTATAATTGGTTAATTGTTGAATAATATTGGATTGAATGAATGTTAAATCGGCCTACGTGAAATCAAAATTAATCCCAATAGCTCTTCACAAATTTGTAAATAGTAGATAGAATTAGATTAATTTAGTATAAATTAGTTAGAATAGAAACTCTTGATCTGATAATAGATCACCACATTAATTTAGATTGAAACTAGGTTAAGAAAATAATTGATAGTAAATACTTGGCCTCTATGAGAACAATATTCGAACTAAAAAATTATTCAATTTCTTACTTGTCACGATTCGTACACTTGTGAAATCAATAGAACATGTTTTTGGTGCTATTGTCGAGAACTAATTTATTTATTTTATATTATGTTGTTAATTCTAGCCTTGGTTTAAATTTTTGTTTTTGTTTTCTTTTTATTTTTCTTTTTTAGTTGATCTACTTTTTTTTCTTGGTTTCAATGACATGGAACGAAAGGAAGCAATGGGGCAACAAAAAAATGAGACCGGAGATCCTGAAATTGATAAAGATGACATGCCTATAGGAGATTTCTTCGTCCTAACATGCTTTAAAATGAAGGGATATGACGCACTTGATGAAGTTGATGAGGATCACATGCCTATGAAGACTACTAGGTTTCCAAGTACAAAGTATAAATGAAGTTAATGAGGATAATTTGTCAATGGGATTACTATGGGCACTTCCGGAATACCAAGTATAGGATGAACATTAATCCTCAACAAGAAAGAGA